TTAATTAGTCGTTCAGGGGAGTGTATGCTACCGTAGGTGCCGCATTGCACCTCGACCACTGATTTGTCCACTTCGACCACCATAATCCGTACGAACTCTACGACTTACACTGTCACCATCATGAGTTATAACTCCACGGGACATGAGAAGGTTTGCGTCTCCTCATGAGGCCCATAAAATGCCGAAACAACTGTCCCGCGCCACTCCAAGCGTTGCCTGGTCTGGTCTAGCTATGGTTAATCACTTTGAAACCCCTTTTATCGACTGTTACTCATTTTTAACAACATGCGCAACCTGTGTATCTCCAAGGTGAAGGACAATGGGACCTAATGGGTAAACAAGCTCAAAAAGTACAACAAATAGTACGAATCTACAGGGACTTGAGACAACATTTTGAACAAGGCTACAAGAATGTCCATGCACTAACAACATCCTCGTGCGCAGTGATTGGCCGCAAGGTTTCATGGGCGTGAACGGTGGATGTATGTATTTGTAAATAGGTTTGTCGGAGTCAAAGGGGAACAAGTAGAGTGGATTGATGAACGGAGCCAGCCACAATGCAGTAAAACCACTAAGTTGACCACGCAAAAAGTGGACCAAAGTGGTCAACATAAACAGGTAATCAACAGATGCAAGTTTGGAACCACAAATTTTACATGACCAGCATTCAAGCAATGGAAAAACTGGTCAATGTAGGTAGATGGCCAGGTTATAGAGGCGGTCAATTTCGGTGGTTTAATTGTATTAATAATGGCTGAAGCCACGCTGGTTATTTCTACTAGACACCAGTTGACGTGGTGACCACGAGTTAAGAGAATTTCGTCACTCGAGTGGAGTTCCACCACACAGCGTCTGTCGGCGAAGAACTTCTCTGGTTCCATAGCAGCCTCCGTAGAGTGTCTTGTTGCCGTGACGTGTAATTTATTAGAAATACACGATTTTCCCGCATATAGGAATCTGCTGCGACTGACAGTTCTAGGAAAACCCAGTGAAAAATACTACGTTGGTGTAGCGACCATACGTTTTCCGTAATTCCTCGTCGGACTGGTACTCAGGGATCGAAATATGCAAACAGAACAAAGCGGCCGGTATGTTGTCCGTACTTTGAAATGGTATTAGAAACAGTCACCACTTAGGTTACGAGGACTGCTTGTAGGTGCTCGCGATGGTCATAGATTATAATCTTTCTGGGTCAAAGCAATCCTAACGGCTGAGTCAGCATTCGCTGAACGTACACGTCCGGGCAGTACAGCCGGATCGTGATGGCTTTAGCGGCTTCGACTGTCCACCTGCGGACACGCCATGATCGATAGCTAGTCGTATGCTTGATGATCTTAAAGGATTAATCCGCACTGGTGGTGTATCCCGTGGCGGCCGGATAAACAATTGCGGAGTACTTGGTTGCTTGTTTGCAAAGTTGTGTGGTGGTGCAATTACTCTATCTGACAGACGCCTTGTCGTAGGACTGATGTAACCTATTCCACAGGAACAAAACGAGCAAGTACACACTGATTCGGTGTGAACGGGCATTTAGCCAATGGACCTAGTTCTATCCGTGGCTTCCTGGTGAACTGGATCTACATTATGGCTACCTGAAACATGTCCTCGAGCGAGTACGAAAGACGACTAATTAGGATTTCCACTGCAATGTCGCCTTTGAACATATTTGTGCAAAAATTGATTTTCATTCCGATGCAAAGTCATCGCACACCGACCACGTTGAATGGATGCATTCTTATTCTTATAACCAACTAAAACCGAGCCGACTGCTTGCCATCCTGTTTGCTTTTGTGACGGATTTCCACTGAATCCAAGAGTATTTAGTATCTTCTCTTTCATCTAGTGGGGCGAATGCCGTGGCGTCAACAGTAGATTGTTGTGGGGCACACATTGGTTTCCGTTAATAAATTATCAAAATACTGCCCAATTTGTAGCGTATCTTGACAACTCGGTTTGCAACGCAATTTTTCGCAAGCTGGCTGAATTGTAAATGTCACAGTTATTCCTTCACACATACAGAGTGGCAAAAATTGCACTTTTTCCATCGAATTGCTCGTGCAACTCAAACGTTTTATGGCCATAAAGTATGACAGCAGTCTTCGCACCAAATCATCGGTCGTTCTTTATCGACTCCAGTTCAACTCATCAAGGCTTTTCAGTCACGCAGCTTCTAAATCCGTAGCGACCCTCTGCTACCAGGTGCGTGACCGTCCGGTCACATAAGCACCCGTCGTATGTTGAAGTATGGACGAGACCGGGAAGGACTCTTCAATCAAAATTTATCGACAATGACAAACCAAAATGTTTGCTTGTTACAGAGGTCAAAGTGTAAGTGATTTTCCCTAAGCTACAAGACCACCATTGTATACATAAAACTTGGACGATCACCCGGTCCTTTAGGTATCTGTCAGCAACGCTCTTTCTTCCGATTCCTTCGGAGTTTAGACAGACTGTTTCTGAGAGGTGGTAGCCGCTTACGTAACTTTGATATAACGTGTCTCATCCTCCGGCGCTGCGCAGATGACAAACTTGACCTTCCTCACTAAGCCGAACTGCTGACTGCTCCTAATAGGGTCTCCTAGAAGCTTTCCCGACGGTGGCTTTGGCATGAATGCGTTTAGCTGGGAGGAAATCACCTGGAAATCCTTTAATCACTTTTTGAAGTACCTAAATGTCGTTTGCTACCAACCTTGTTTACACGCATTGGTGTTCCCTTGGTGTTTTCCGCTTTGTATCAGTACAATCAATCTTAATTCACGTATGCCTTTCTGCCAATAACTATGCCTGTCTGCTTCGATAGCTTTTCGGATTATCTTTAGTATCTTGGAGAAGTAGTTCATTATGCCAGTACAAGCGCAACCCTTAGGCTTGAGTGTTTAGCATTCGAAGCTTATTACTGGTGACAGCATCCGCACACACAAAACCCGATTAAAATCAAGAATAATTTTAAAAACCGATGAGCACATATGACTAGCGATTACCCATCAGTGGACCGTCTATAGGTTAACACAGTGGTTCACAACATATGGTATGTGGCGATCCAGGCTATAATACTTTAAATGCCATTTGCTTCATTGATTTAGGATCATATTGTAACATTCCTTCGATGTTGATCTGCATGCTCTGGCCTACTTGTCCCGATTTTGTTGACAAAAGGCGAGTATTCAGTTCCGTCACACAAAAAGTCGACATGTTTCCGAGATATTTTGACTTGTTACACTTCGCAACATGCGATGCGTGAGAGGATTGATGGCTCCTGAGTAATCGATGTGCCCGAATGTATCAACCATAAGAGTAAACAATCTGCCGGTTCTATAGCATAGCCACATGTCTAATTGTAGAGTGGAGGAAGAAAAGATACCAACCGCAGCACTACCCTGAAACTAAGTGAAATCCGGTCAACGCTTCTGCGAACCACCATTCATTATTCATGAGTGTGACCGCAATCATCCACTCGAGCCTTTTAAATTGAGGGCATACAACCTTATAGGGACACTCGCTCAGCTTTATTGGGTCCGCATATTTTCTTCTGTATGCTCACGTGCTGATTTCTGTTTCTTTACTCATAATAAAAGTATTCACTTTAATGAAAGTGTAGTGTTCGCCAACTTGAAAACGTTCTACGAGATTCAAATGCAAGCGGCAAAAGCCAAGGTCATCCACTCGTATTTTCACCTTGTTTGATTAACTACTTTATGGTTCGCAATTAGCGTGTTCGACGCCTTGTTTATGGCGCAGGAAAAGGAAACGAACCGCTCAGCACCATTATATCACACACAAGGCACCGATGGCTGGGCCACATGTTACACATGCCAGCACATCGACTCCCGCGACGTGCGTTGTTTGCGCGCCGGGGGTGCAGATGGAACAAGAGGAGTGGAGGCCAAACGATGACTTGGTCAAGCGGAATGAAGGCCCTTACTTCAAAGTTGGCCTCGGTTGGAGCCTCTCGGCTCCCTGGTTGGGGACCGAAGGACGATGAACAAGTTTGACTGGATAAGCTTGTTCACATGGCTGGGAGCCGACCTCAGTGGCATCTCAGATTTAAGGCAGAGTATGACTTATTTGCTGCGCAATAGCTTGCTGTTAGTTCTCCGGAACGATGTTCATCCGTTACTGGTGAGTCAGCCGGCTTGCTTTTGTTTTTCTGTTTTTTCTCCTTTTCTTTTGTATTGCGGCACAATAGCTGAGGTGTTTTCCACCTCCAGCTAAGGCGTATAAAGATGAATGATGTAGTGTTCGCACAGCATGTTGTGTTCGGATGAAATTCGAACATTATGGAGACGAACAAGGCATGGTTATTTTGTACGGTTGGTTTACGCTAACATCTGACACACTAATCACGTGTATGTGACCGTTAACCGTGAACCACCGACTATGCTTTCAAAGTTTCTCGATTGTAGTTTAGAGCTAATGCTGTTTAACCCCAATGTACACACAACCCGTAATTCCGGACCCTCTGTACTCGTTTTTAGTACATGGGTGATTATTTTTGTATATGAAGCATCGTCGGTATGTCAAAACGCGACAATCCTAATCGATTATCAAACGATCGATAACTGTCACTCTATCGGTGCACAAAGCCAGTGTGTGCAAGGGCAGATAAGTGAGCTGGTGCCTAATTAAAGGGAAGATAACCACTGGTCCGTCATCAAACTAACGTCATATCTCAGGCCATTGGTACGCGTTGTTCTGATAGTCGCCTGTCGGTCAAATCTTAGTCGTCATTGGCGTCCTCCTGAATAGTTCCAATTTCCGGATGAACTACCACTCGATTGACGGGAGTGAGCGCCAACTATAACAAGCAAATATTAAGATGCCCACACGTTGATGGATTTGTTTGTAACTGACCTTCACGTTCTACCTATCACTGATGTTGGGTAGTTTCGCATTCAGCTGATAAGAAATACCCAATCGAACCAAGGACTACGGATCCCACTCGAAAAAGCGCCATGCTGCATGCAGCCGCTAGACCATAGCAAAATTACTTACGTTCACACGAGTGCGCACTCAATTTCTTGCTCATGCCGAGTTGTCCTACTAACCTGAACTTTCGTGCGACTTCGAAATTTGATCCAGTGCTCCCAGTCATCTTGATCGAATGGATCTTCAATGGTCACAATGGGGTAATGTGAAAGTAGTTGTGAATAGAGTTCCAACAGCTTGTCCCCACTAATCAACTGGTTTGGATCCTGTTGCTTATCCTTGAAGCACATATTGTACCTTCCGCCTTTGACCCACATTTCCGAGGAGGCCACATCCATGCCGATCACAACTTTTCCAACGAAGCCTGCGACGGATATCGCCTCAGCTAACAAGTCCAGGGCTGCGTGGAAGCAGGAAAAGAAGTGTTTTATTAATAATTCGTAACGCTTCATGATGCCAAGATCGACGAATCTGACGGTACCTTGGAACGGACAGTGCATACCAGAAAATTCAAACCTTCCAAGCATTCTACCTATGGCATGGTGCGATTATGTTCCTCTTATCGTCTTTTCATCCATAAAACTATTATAAAAGTGGGTAGGGGAGTTAGGAAACACTATTATTTAATCACACTGCATTCAAGTGAGAAGACAGGTGTAACAAACGCTGCTTACCAGCTCCAGAAACAGAAGCGTTCAACTTTGTGGTATGAGGCTTGAAAACTTATGGCTTAGTTTTCAACATTATGTGAATCTGGATACACTGTCAAGCAGATGAAAAATCTCCTGGCTACGAAGTAGAGGAATCAAAACGATTGGCATTGTTCTGAACATGGAAAATGCTCTCCATTTAATACAGTTAACAGAAGCGAATCAGGCAACACCTCTGCAACACTCGTCCGAAGATGCGCACATCAATACGCAACTGAGCAAGCCGCACATGACTAATGTGGCGCGCCATAATCGCCAATTGACCCTCGCTCTCCCCCCCCATCGAATCTGATAAATCTCAGCTTTTGTGTCTGCCATGTATATTCAATCGAAAGACACAGGCCAAACATTCAGAATAGCGTAAACGCTTCGCGTGCTCGATTTCTTGCCTAGTGGAATCGTAGACTACTAAGATGTTTGGAGTCAGCTAATCCAAATGGTTCATAATCTGAATTAAAAAATTCCGGACGCAAACGGTGTGGTCATTGATCACACTGCAATCCTCCACTTGTGCCGCGGTATTTCATTAATAGTATGTCTATATATATATATATATATATATATATATATATATATATATATATATGTGTATTCACAATCTGTTAACAGACATTGTGCCATCAGAACCATGGCAGAAGAAAAAAGTGAAGAAGTTGGGAACACTAA